TTCTGATTGATCAGAGACATTCGCACCAGTGGCCTGCTGGAGATCATTTTGTATGGTTCTGGAAGTGCTCATCCTGTTCCACCTTGCACAAAGGAGCAGATACCAGTCCTGCTGATGGTTAAGGACCTTCTACTGCCCTGTCCAGCTCTCCTAAAGTAACTGCCTGTCTCCTAGAATATCCTCCATGTTCTTGAGACTCTGCTAGGAGACACAGCAAACCATGTGGCAATGGCATATACTGAAGTGCCATCCTGGAAGAGTTGGACTGCCTGTGCAACCTCTGTAGGATCCAGGTATCGCCTCATGCTACAGTAGTGACACTGACCCTAGTCAAATTCAAAACTAGTGAAAAACATTCAGAAAAGATGAGTAGGGAAAAAAATGTCAGTGGCCTCCACCTGTAAAACCATTCCTGTTTTGGGGGTTGTCTCATTGTTGCCCATATAGTGCATCCGTTGTTAATTTAATTAACACCAAAGCAGCTGAAACTAACAACTCCCTCTGCTGTGTAACTGACCAGATCAATATCCCAGGAGTTTAACTAACTTCATGTTATACCCTCATTAAAAATTGTTCCTTAAATTTTTTGTGCAGTGTATATACAGGGGTTAGACAAAAATGGAAACACTACATGATTTGCAGGTGTGAGAGTGACAACATGTTTTGCACTGAAAGCAGAAGTGGTGTAACATTCTTTTGCTTCCACTGTGTGATGAGGCACATAGCTAACGGGTGGGAAGCATCACATTTGTCATTCACTGCGGGCGCTGCTAGTAATATGGAGTCGTGTCAGAGCTTACTGAGCGTCAAAGAAGGCACTTCATGTGACTACGATGGAGCTCTGTATTCACTTTGACAGCAGTTGTTTTCTTGTTTTGTCACAAACCTGTACAATGTCCTTTCGGTCAGTTGGCCATGTCGACCACACTTATTCTCATCAGGCGATATTTTTCCAGAAACTGTATATGCCGTCACAACCTTTGATGATGTACCTTGCAACACAGCAAATAATTTGGCAACTTCAGTCACAGAGGCACCAGCTAAGCGGGCACCAACAATTTGCCCTCTTTGATGCTCAGTAAGCTCTGACATGACTCCGTATTACTAGCAGCGCACACAGGGAACGATGAAAGTAAGGTTTCCTACCTGTTAGCTAGGTATCTCATCACACAGCGGAAGCAAAAGAATGTTACATCACTTCCGCTTTCAAAGCAAAATGTCATCACATTCACACTTGCAAATTGTGTAATGTTTCTGTTTCTTTTTTTTGTTTAACCCCTGTATATGATCAATGGTTGAACAAGGCTATAGTGAAGTCTTTGTTGCCTAAATACTGCCTCTCCTAAAGATACATGTATGGAAACCAACATTTGAAATACAAGTCAGAGAGGTGTTTATATTTATAAACCCTGGCTGTTCTGAGATACTGACAGTCCATAAAGATTCTGCCTGGCCAGTATAGTAGGATAAAAGGTGTGCATCCAGCAATCAGCTCTGTATTTATGAAACAGTCCCCTGCAAGTGAATCTCTGGCCAAATTGATCTCAGATGGACTGATGCCATTCATATTGTTATGTTGCCGCCTCTTAAGGTGGCCATAGATGGATCGAAATTCATCTGGTTCAGCAGAAACCGTCCAAATTTCGATCTAAGTGTAGCCACTGCAGTTGAACAGAAGTTGCCTGCAACACTGCTTTTGTCCAATAGGGTGGTTGAACAGAAGTCGAACTACGGATCAAAAAAGCAGCTCTAACAGCAATGCAGGCAATAGGCTGCAATGCTGATCTCTGTATTGTGGCAGCAGGGGAGTCTCTCCACTGTGAGAATACAATAGCACAACGGGGAGGCTTCCCCATCCATCTGGAATGTGTGGATGGAGGAATTTTTTTTTTGTTCAGCCAAGAAAAAGTATATACTTATAAGTATCGTTATATACTCCGACCCTTGAACCCTATGCACGATGTTGTTTGTTATATACTCTGACCCTTGCACCCTATACACTATGTTGTTTGCTATATACTCCGACCCTTGCACCCTTTATGCTCTGTTGGTGTTTGTTATATACTCTGACCCTTGCACCCTTTATGCTCTGTTGTTTGTTATTACTCTGACCCTTGCACCCTTTATGCTCTGTTGTTTGTTATTTCTTACTCTGACCCTTGCACCCTTTATGCTCTGTTGTTTGTTATACATACTCTGACCCTTGCTGTCTATACAATATGTTCCTGTTCATTATATGCTCTGACCCTAGCACCCTGTACACCATGTTGTTCCTGACATTCTCTGACCCTAGCACCCTATACATGTTTGTTCCTGACTTCTCTGACCCAAGCACCCTATACACTATGTTGTTCTTGACATTCTCTGACCCTAGCACCCTATACACACTATGTTTTTCCTGACATTCTCTGACCCTATGTATGTTGTTAATGACATTCTGTGACCCTAGCACCCATATACATTAATTTGTTCCTGACATTCTCTGACCCTAGCACCCTATGTTGTTCCTGACATTCTCTGACCCTATCACCCTATACCTTATGTTGTTCCTGATATTCTCTGACCCTAGCACCCTATACATTATGTTGTTCCTGACATTCTCTGACCCTAGCACCCTATACACTATGTTGTTCTGACATTCTCTGACCTAGCACCCTACACATTATTTGTTCCTGACATTCTCTGACTCTAGCACCCAATACACTACGTTGTTTCCTGACATTCTCTGACCCTAGCACCCTATGTTGTTAATGACATTCTCTGACTCTAGCACCCAATACACTATGTTTCTTCCTGACATTCTCTGACCCTAGCACCCTATACACTATGTTGTTCCTGACATTCTCTGACCCTAGCACCCTATACCCTATGTTGTTCCTGACATTCTCTGACCTAGCACCCTATACATTATGTTGTTCCTGACATTCTCTGACCCTAGCACCCTATACACTATGTTGTTCCTGACATTCTCTGACCCTAGCATCCCCTACACATTATGTTGTTCCTGACATTCTCTGACCATAGCACCCTATGTTGTTAATGACATTCTCTGACCCTAGCACCCAATACACATTCTTGACTCCTGACATTCTCTGACCCTAGCACCCTATACACTATGTTGTTCCTGGCATTCTCTGACCCTAGCACCCTATACCTTATGTTGTTTCTGACATTCTCTGACCCTAGCACCCTATACATTATGTTGTTCCTGACATTCTCTGACCCTAGCACCCTATGTTGTTAATGACATTCTCTGGCCCTAGCACCCTATACCCTATGTTGTTCCTGACATTCTCTGACCCTTGCACCCTATGTTCTTAATGACATTTTCTGACCCTAGCACGCTATACATTAATTTCTTCCTGACATTCTCTGACCCTAGCACCCTATGTTGTTAATGACATTCTCTGACCCTAGCACCCTATACCCTATGTTGTTCCTGACATTCTCTGACCCTAGCACCCTATGTTGTTAATGACATTCTCTGACCCTAGCACCCTATACCCTATGTTGTTCCTGACATTCTCTGACCCTTGCACCCTATGTTGTTAATGACATTCTCTGACCCTAGCACGCTAAACATTAAATTCTTCCTGACATTCTCTGACCCTAGCACCCTATACACTATGTTGTTCCTGACATTCTCTGACCCTTGCACCCTACACATTATGTTGTTCCTGACATTCTCTGACCCTAGCACCCTATGTTGTTAATGACATTCTCTGACTCTAGCACCCAATACACTATGTTGTCCCTGACATTCTCTGACCCTAGCACCCTATACAATATGTTGTTCCTGACATTCTCTGACCCTAGCACCCTATACATTATGTTGTTCCTGACATTCTCTGACCCTAGCACCCTACACATTATGTTGTTCCTGACATTCTCTGACCCTAGCACCCTATACAATATGTTGTTCCTGACATTCTCTGACCCTAGCACCCTATACAATATGTTGTTCCTGACATTCTCTGACCCTAGCACCCTATACAATATGTTGTTCTTGACATTCTCTGACCCTAGCACCCTATACATTATGTTGTTCCTGACATTCTCTGACCCTAGCACCCTATACACTATGTTGTTAATGACATTCTCTGACCCTAGCACCCTATACACTATGTTGTTCCTGACATTCTCTGACCCTACCCTTACACCCTATGTTGTTAATGACATTCTCTGACCCTAGCACCCTATACACTATGTTGTTCCTGACATTCTCTGACCCTTACACCCTATAATTGTTAATGACATTCTCTGACCCTAGCACCCTATACACTATGTTGCTCCTGACATTCTCTGACCCTAGCACCCTACACTATGTTGTTCCTGACATTCTCTGACCCTAGCACCCTATACACTATGTTGTTCCTGACATTCTCTGACCCTAGCACCCTATACACTATGTTGTTCCTGACATTCTCTGACCCTAGCACCCTATACACTATGTTGCCCCTGACATTCTCTGACCCTAGCACCCTATAATTTGTTCCTGACATTCTCTGACCTAGCACCCTATACCCTACATTCTCTGACCCTAGCTATACACTATGCTGTTCCTGACATTCTCTGACCCTAGCACCCTCTATACAGTAGTTATACATTACACAGTGCTGTCCCACACTTGGATTAATAAAGCACCTCAACCTCCCTGGCAAGACACAGTGCAAGGCCCATCGCCATTCCGCAGACAGGTATTCTCTATATACACACACAGGGTCCTGTCTCATGTCCTGCACATACGCTCTGCACACCACCTGCCCGTCAGTATTTGGTGTAATTCTACCTCTCGCCATCATTTCTCAGACAGACCCCTCCCCTTCCTCCTAGTCCTCCCCTCCTCGCTCCTTCCATACTCAGCATGAGGACTACCAACTGCTGACGTCACCAGTCTGATCTCTCAATGAACCTGGCAGGAGCCGTGGCTCGCCCTGACCAATGAGAGGGCAGATCTCATTCGGTTTCAGGAGACGTCCAATGGCGGCAGCTGACACATATCAACTCCAGGAAGTGCCGTGTATGAACGAGCCTGGCAGGAAGAGAGACAGCGCGAGCTTTGCTTCCTGCTGGGACCGGACTGAGCGTGATCTATGAGCGGTATGTAGGCTGAGCGCGGCCTCCCCGTACATGGCACATGGAGAGGAGGAATATCCGAACCGGGAGGGCTATACTTGCAGCTGGGGGAGATGAAGCCATAACTACCCCTTCTTGTAGATGTGGATGGAGTGGGGAGGGGTTAGAGCCTCTGTCAGGTCTGCCCTCCCATGAGTCACATTCAGTGTATTTAGGAGGGAAGTATTCTCATTGGATCAGGATGGTGCAGTGCTGGCCCCATATGATGATGGGAACACCCGAGGAGTGCTCAGCTGCAGGGGTTTGCCTTGTTGAGGGTTTTGGAGCTTCAAGCTATGATATACTTCTACAATGGGGGTAACGGGCCTGATTATCCATGTCACCGGGAGTGAGGGAAATCTAATACCAATTCCTGTCCTGTGGATGTGAGGGGGAAGTCTTTCCGATGCTCTGTAAAGCCCCTCTCACTTGTCATGGGAACAAGTGTCCCCAGTGGAAAATTCCTCCTCTCTTCCTGTTCTGGTGACAACAATATTGGATTATTTTGTCACCAGAACAGGAAGAGAGAAGAAATTTTCCACTGGGGACACTTGTTCCCATGACAACTAAGAGGAGCTTTACAGAGCATTGGAAAAAAACTTCCCCCTCACATCCAAATTGGTTTACGTGAAAGTTATAGTGTTTACAAATGGTATACTGGAATTTTTTATTATGCTAGTAATGGCAGCGATCAGCGACTGTGGCGGGCATTCTGACATGAGGGGGAACTGTCACTGACATCCCCAGTGACACTATTACAGTGATTAGTGCTAATAAAAAGCACTGACACTGTACTAATGACACTGGGCAGGAAGGGGTTAACATCTGGGGGCAATCAAAGGGTTAACGGTGTTCTGTTTCGCTGTGTGTGTTGTACACTGTGCGCAGGCTGCTGTGTATGGCTCTGCAGTGTGCTGGAGCTGACAAGGGAGAGGTCTGTATTGTTTACATACAGACCTCTCCCTTGTCAGTGTTCCTCACCGGGAGTCGGCGGGGAAGTTCTGGTCGGGACCTGGTGATTGACAGCTGGAGCTGCCAATGATAGTGCAGGTAGGGCGTGCACCCCCTACCCGGAAATGCGAAATCACGTGTATATATGTGACTTTGTGTAGCCCTGCCGCCCTGTAGCAGTATTTCTGCTATAGGGCAGCGAGCAAGCAATTAAATGGGTTGAAAAGGCAAGTTTTTTGTTTTTTTTTTCCCTTCATGCGTTTTATGGTAAAGTTTCAAAAACCTTCTTGTGTGCAGATCCCCCTAATACTTACCTGAGCCCCATACTTACCTGAGCCCCATCGCGATCCAGAGATGTGCATGAGAGCCTCGGCTGTCCTGGCACTCTCTCTCCTCATTGGCTGTCAATCACAGCCAATGAGGAGAAAGTGGGGTGCAGGGCCCAGCCGTAGCTCTGTGTGTCTTAAGGACGCATAAAGTGGGGTCGGAAGTGAGTGGCTTGCTATTGGGGGCACTGGTAAAGAGGGAGGAGCCAGGAGCGCCAGCGGGGGACCAGAGAAGAGGAGGATCAAGGCTGCTCTGTGAAAAACCATTACAAAGAGCTGGTAAGTATGACATTTTTTTTTCTGAACCTTTAATACCACTTTAGGCCTCATTCGCACTGCATGTACTATAGCATATGCCTGTACAGCTGTGTGAAGGCCATGTTTACCCTCACAGGTGTCCTGAGCATCCTCATGCAGGCAGTCCTATTCATGTCATTTGGGATGCCACAGCTGCATGGAAACAGCCGCTGCTCCCAGTGTGACAGCCACGTGGGTGCATGTCCCCATTGCACACTGTCTGCATTCAGGGCTGTGCACTCACACAGCTGTCACATTGTGAGCAGCAGCTGCATCCCACTTGACATGAATGGGATTGCCTGCACATGGATGCTCAGAACACCTTTGTGGGAAAACACGACCCTCATACAGCTGTACAACTTCGGAACGGAAGTTCTTACCTCTTCTCTTTCCATCCTCTGCCAATAATAACATTTTATTTCTGGCTGGTACCCACTCCTACTTCTGCTGGAATCACCTAGGCAATCCCAGCAGAAGTTTTCCCCCCACCTTCTTCCTGCCCGCATCCTCCTAGGACACATCACCGGTCCCAGGAGTCCATGGAAGCATTCAGAGTGCAGCGCAGCTTGTGCATGCGTAATGTGGTGCTGACTGTGGAGACGCAAGGAGGCACAGCCGGCCTCCCATAGTCACCATGGTAGTGCGGGGACCAGCAGACCAGCGAAGAACCAGCTCAGATAAAGTCAACGCTGGATCCCTGGACAAGTCCGTGTCTATTTATTTAAGTCCGTATCCACAGTACTTGTAGCTGCTAACTTGTCATTTTTTTAAAAAGTAACTGAAGATCCTCTTTAAATGCTTCCACACCACCCAATAGCAGGAATACTGCTACAGGGCGGCACGGGTGCGCAAAATAACGTGTATATATACGTGATTTTGCATTTCCAGGTAGGGGGAGTGCGTCCTTCCCTGGCGTGGCTGTCAGTAACCAGGTCCCTGCCGGTATTTATTCGCCGGTGCCCAGTGATTTTACGAAGATCTCTTGATGGGGAGGAGGACTGTTTTGTTTAATAGTCCTCCTCCCTGTCAGCTCAGGCACACTGGTCTGGATGGCTGTGCACACTGACACTGCTGTGAAGCACACTGACACAGCCCCCTAGTAAAACGCTTCCTGCACACAGTTAACCCTTTGATTGCCCCTCATGTTAACCCCTTCCTGCCCAGTGCCATTAGTACAGTGTCAGCACTTTTTTTTTTTTTTTTTTTTTTAGCAGCAATTGGTGTCACTGGGAATGCCATTACTTTAAAAAAAAAAAAAAAAATGCCAGTATATATTCCGCCATTTGTAAACGCTATAACTTTCACATAAACCAATTTACACGTATTGGGATTTTTTTTGGCAAAAACATGTAGCAAAATACATTTTGGCCTAAATTTATGATTAAATTAGATTTTTTAAAAAAAAAATTTTTACTGGACGTTTAATATCAAAGTCAAAAATACTGTTTTTTTTTTTTTAAAAAAAAATTGTCTTTTTTTTTTTTCTATAGCAAAAAATAAAAAACGCACAGGTGATCAAATACCGCCAAAAGAAAGCTCAATTCGTGGGAAAAAAGGACCTAAATTTCAGTTGGGTGCAGCGTTGCATGACCGCGCAATTATCAGTTAAAGTGACACAGCACTGTAACGCAAAAAAAAATGGTCAGGAAGGGGCGTAAATCCTCAGGACGGCAAGTGGTTAACCAGTTCCAGCCCAGCCTGTAGTCAAATGACAGGACATTCACCATTCCAAGTGGACGTTATGACATCCGGACACAGCGGATGACTGCTCAGTGTACCAGCTGCTTCTGATACCATGTGATCACTGTGACCAATCGCAGCAGATTCCATGACAGTTGTACGCAATGGATGGCTTTCATTCATGCCATCCATTTTGTAATATTGTGTTGATCTCTTTGATTGGTCACAGTGATCACATGGTATAGACAGGGCCAGTCGCAGCCCATCCGTACCGTTTCAGTCATTAAAAATGCCATCCAAAGCAGTGTTATTAGTGTTATTACAGTGAAGCACCAACACACAGCACATAGTCAAACAGCACACAGTTAACCCTTTGATCGTCCCTCATGTTAACCCCTTCATGCCCAGTGCCATTAGTACAGTCATGATTGCGGTATTGTCAGTTAAAGTAATGCAGAGCCTTAACACAAAAAATGGCCTGGTCAGAAAGGGGGGTAAATCCTCAGGAGGGCAAGTGGTTAAAGTTTGATACAGTGCTAGGAGGCAGTGCACCTTTTCTATCATGTGACTGCTGTGATTGGCTCTCACAGCAGTCACATATTTGAAAGCCTGTCATCAAAAAACATTACTGAGCTGGGAGTGCACAGTAAGTGTGCTCTCAGCAGAATCTCAATTTATATTGCCTGACACATGGAATATGTAGTTTCAGGCGCCGGGCAGGATGTTTTTTTAACCCTTTTATCCCTGCTGCGAGCAAGCAGCAGGGCTGCCCTGTCAGGTGGAAGCATTTGAACGGCTGCAATGCTGCCCGGTTGCTTCAATACACCCCACTACAGTACCAGCCTCCACCCCCCTGCATTCTATATCTTCCTGCCTCTGTGGGACCAGTTCAGCGGGTGCCGGTGGGTATAGGGCACGGAGGGTAGCAGATACGTCCGCTCCCCTTTTTGTCCTGACTCAGAAATGACGTTATGTTATCACTTCTGGGTCCCCGTTGACAGATTCTTTGGGGAATTGAGGCACTGCATTACATCCAATGGAGTAGTACAGGGGAGAGATATCCATGGTCTTTTAGACCCTAGATGTTTGAATAAAGAGAACCTGTCACCCAGAAAAAGTTTTAATTGTAACAAATTAAAGTTATCCCCCCTGCCCCCACATATTAGCACATACAAATGTAAAGGCACACTCTGGGGCGCCTACGCATGGCAACGTCGTTTGCAATACACATTACATATTTCCGCGCACTCCAGAAAGAGAAATTCTAATACCAGACCTCCTCTGTAACACTAAGCTGATGACCTATAATGGGCTCAATCCATCATCTGAAAATGGAAAGCGTATGGCACAACTGCAAACCTACCAAGACATGGTTGTCAACCTAAACTGACAGGCCGGGCAAGGAGTACATGGGTTGTGGACATTTTTGAAAAAACTACTTGTCCAGGTACTAAATCGGTGCCCCAATCTACTTGTCCTTCATGACAATCTACAAAAAAAAAATCATTTTAGGACTGAAAATTACATAAAACCCCCAAACATATATTTTGTGAAAGCAGAGACCCTAGAATAAAATAGTGATAGTTCCAATTTTTTATATCACATATTACCACAAAATTTCAGTAATAATAGAAGTAAATTAATTTTCGGGCACAAAAAAGCAATAATCTACCTTATTTGTTGTAGATTATAAAAGAGGAGGTTGCTTTGAGTAAATAGATATGCAAATTG